AATATTGTTATGCAATGACCCACCAGACCAAGAATTTGCTTTGCTACGAGTGTTGGAACTAATTAATTGCTTATTTTATGCATTAGTTTTCTTTTCCTTTTTTGGCGGCATTACGAATGAATGAATATTTTTTATTATTTTTGAGAATGGAATTTGATTGGCTCAAGCCGGCTAAGCCGTGTAAGCCGGCTAACATCACTAGTTTAACATTCTTGATAATAAAAATATAATAAAATGTTTTTTTATTTAATTTATCTATGGTAGATAAACATCGAGATAATAAAAATAAAAATGATCAAATAAATTTGTGCCAACGGCACATCTCCTAGCCGTTGTATAATTATATTCAGTTGCTGTTGTTGCTGCTGCTGTTGTTGTTGTTTATTTAATTTAACGATGATAGATAAACATCAAGATAATAAAAATAAAAATTATTAAATAAATTTGTGCCAGTGGCACATCTCCCAGCCGTTGGATAATAATATTAATTTGCTGTTGTTGCTGGAGTTATTGTAATGGTTTCTACTATTGCTTTATGAGTCATTTAATCGAGGTAATTATTTTGTAAAAACAAAGACCCAATAATTTGGAGATAAACTCAAATATTTATGTAATAAATAGAAAGTTGTTGTTATTAAAAATACAATAAAAAGCGTGTAATCATCATCTAAAACTTTTTTTCTTTTCTTCATATCAATTCGGATTTGGAGATAAATTTTTATTGCCTATATTTATTTGTTATTATTATTAAAAATATAATAAATCACCTAAAAAACTTTTTTTTTTGGTACGATTCGGAGATAAATTTTATTGCTTATATTTATTTATGTTGTTATTCATCAAAAAAAAATAAATTTTTTTAATATTGATTTGGAGATAAATCTTTATCGCGATAATCTAATTGACGTAATTATTTTTAATGATTATGTTGACTAATTTATTTCTTTTTAATATATTAATATTGCGTCATTGTTAATAGAATTTTAATATAAATAGATACGGTGAATTTTCTCAAGTAGTTATAAAAAAATTTATATATTTTCCCACAAATTTTTTCTCCAAAAAAACCAACGGCGAGAAAAAACTTTTTCATCTTCTTTTTCAATAAATTTATTATTTAAATAAAAAAAAAAGAAAATCAAAAACAATGCAGCAGATTCCCTTGTAAGTATGAGTAAGAGAAAGATTTAAAACTTGGAAAATTATTTTAAAGAGTTTTTCCAGTTTATCAAATAACTTGAATTCTATTATTTTCTACTTTTTTTATTCAATGCTAAAAGATAATAAGTAAATTGCACTCTCATCAAACGGGTAGAATTGATTGTTGATGATTTCCAACCCAGATGGTGAAAAGATGTTAGAAGATTTTTCATCTTGCATACAGTTGCAAAGGAAAAAATATTTTTTCACGTAATTTTCAGGAATTTTTTTAAAGGAAGATAATTTTTTTAAATTTTAAATCGGTAAGAAACTAATTTAAAAAAAAATACGCAACAATTATTAAAAAACGAAATTATTTATTAATTCTTCAATTTTTTTGGCCCAAAAGATAAAATGAATATAATTATAAATCAACAACAACAACAACAACAACAACAACAAAAACAACAACCATCATCATCACGTACACTTCGCACTCGTCTCACCACCACCCCTCGTACTCGCCGTCCCCCATTAACGCCTGTAAGACAGCTTGTGGGCGTTAATATAACAAATATAAATCAAATTCAGCAACAACAGCAACAACAACAACAACAACAACAACCATCATCATCACGTACACTTCGCACTCGTCCCTCGTACTCGCCCGTCCCCATTAACACCTGTCCGACAGCTTGTGGGCGTAAATATTACAAATATAAACCAAATTCAACAACAACAACAACAGCAACAACAACAACAACAATTACAATAACTCCAGCAACAACAGCAAATTAATATTATTATCCAACGGCTGGGAGATGTGCCACTGGCACAAATTTATTTAATAATTTTTATTTTTATTATCTTGATGTTTATCTATCATCGTTAAATTAAATAAACAACAACAACAGCAGCAGCAACAACAGCAACTGAATATAATTATACAACGGCTAGGAGATGTGCCGTTGGCACAAATTTATTTGATCATTTTTATTTTTATTATCTCGATGTTTATCTACCATAGATAAATTAAATAAAAAAACATTTTATTATATTTTTATTATCAAGAATGTTAAACTAGTGATGTTAGCCGGCTTACACGGCTTAGCCGGCTTGAGCCAATCAAATTCCATTCTCAAAAATAATAAAAAATATTCATTCATTCGTAATGCCGCCAAAAAAGGAAAAGAAAAC